AAAAAATAAAATTATTTAATAAAAATTATGAATCAATAATTTTTTAAAATTATCATTTACATATGTTTCAATCAAAGTGTGACAACTAAAATAAAACTAAAATAGAATATATGATTCTTTTAATATATCTAATAATAAATTGTATAATAATAAACTCATTAACAATGTCTTTAGAGTGAAAAGAAGAGGTTTTAAATTGGAGAACATGTAGCATGCAGGAAGGAAAATAAAGGGATGAGTAAAAGAATAGAAGAAATCATCTCTATCTTTATTTGAAACGAAAATTAACACACACAAAATGTTAAATTACTTATATTCACAAGAAAGAATAATAAAAAAATTACAATAAAACTAACACAACTAAATTCATTACTGACTTTTAAGTTGAAAGCTTATTTACATAGTTTTTATTACTTCTCTTTTATTAGTCAATTAAACTTTTATTCTAAATTTATTTTATGTTTAAAACTTAGGTTTTATACCACAGAGCTGAGTTTCTTCCATCATGTTAATTTATTTCAAAATAATTGTCTATTTCTGTGATTGGCAAAATTTTGTTTATCATTTTATTGAAGTTTGGTGAGGATGCAAACGAGGACTTTTATCGCTTCTTGTCAACGATCCCCACAATTGGCAAGGACGAGGAGGGGCTCTTTGGCCCCACGGGGTGTGTTGTCGTCCCTAGTTAACAGTTAGTCATAATTCTAACAAGGGCTACAAATGCGTCAAGTTCATTTTTTTATCGAGTTTCAATAGTCGAGTTCAATTGGAGACTTAATTTTAGTTTAAGATTTAAATTAAAATAAAATTAAAAATTTAAATATTATACATATATACACACATATACACGTATTTAAATTGAGTTAGTAATAAATTGAGTCAAGTTTAAATTATAACTCACCTTGATTTTTTAAACTCAATTTTGAGCTCAAAATCAAGTTGAGTCAAGTTGAGCTCAACTTAAATTCAAGGCCAGTAGCTCAACTCATTTATGGCCATGCTCATGGTGGACATGAGTACAGTGAAAAGCTTGGACCGATTGGACCCATCTTTTATCAGCCCAAATCAGGGACCATAAATAATAAAAGCCCAACAAAAGCTGGCTAGGGCCTAGGGCACAGCCCGCCGATTATTATAAATCCATTTCCCCTCCTCATAACGGTCGAAAAGATTTTTAATGAACATTTTGCAAAGATACCAAATGGAGTCTCCTCCTCCTCCTCCTCCTCCTCCTCTAGCATGAAATGGAAGTTGGAAAATTAAGTTTTAAATGGGATGATGAGATATATATACCTATTGGCAGTGGATTGACATGTTTGTTGAACTAGGTTGCTTTATTATATATGTCTACATGACTGGATCTCATCTAATCTCGTTTTTTCAAACAGGTGATAGAAAATGAATAGCACGCACACTGTCACACAATCACAAATACTTTTGCTACAAGAAAGTTTTTAAATCTACTTACCCGATACTGGTAGATTGTTATGGGAAATGTAAGACCTTAGCCAAAGTTATGTCTTGCTCAGCTCAGATTATTAAATCTTGGATTGGAGGAATGCCTTGACATGAAGAGCCGCGCTGTGCATATGGGGGCCTGTCTTTCCAGTTCGACACCTAACTAACAATTTCAATTTCATTATCTTGTATATGGATCCTCTGGAGAGATGCTATGGGTTAACAGCAAGAATGAATTGCTATCCGCATCCTACAATTTTTTTAGAGACATGAAAGCACAGTTGTAAGAATTTTATTGAAACTTTGTAAGAGTATTTTGGTTATGCAGTTCAGTAAATTTTATTGAATTCCAAAATTCTACGGAACTTTGAGAATACTAAGATTGTTTTGAATTCAAAGATTGGTCTTGAAGAACAAAAGGTATTCTAAATTTTATCAAGATTCCAAAAATTTTATCCAATTTTGGCCATAGAAGTCCAGTTCCTGTATTTTGTTTAATATATATTTTTTAAATGTGCACTCTCTATGTCATGCAATTTAAATTTAGGATTTGTCTATTTTGTGTATTTGGTTAACAAAGCTTTAATCTTTCATGTTGAAGTTCAAGTAAGGAAATTATGCTGTGTTAACAAAGCTATGCCAACCCTACCCATTAATAGTGAGGACGCTGCTCGAAGTAAGGTTGAAATTGAGAAAGCTTTGCAGGTATGCTCATTCAATCAATGACATTGTTACTCTCTTCCACACTCGTGCTTGTTTTTTTCTCTTGATTATAATCTTCATTCATTCTTCTTATTATGTTCTCTGTGCTCGTCCATTTGAAATGAGGCTTTGTATACTGGTTTTATTTTGTTTTATTTATTGCACATTACTGCATATAGTCACTAATCTCTTAGACCTGCAAGCAGGAGAACAACTTGTTCATGTCAATTAGGACACGCGTTTGAACTACAGAGTTCCTGACATACTAACACCTGCTAATCAAGGGATTTTTTGTATTCAGAGTCAAGTTGGGAGAGTAAGTTTTTCCATTTTTGCTTGTTCTTCATTCCTTTTGCATTGTTGTTTTACATTCTCCAACATCATTGCTGTCATTTTGCTATCATTTATGTCACAAATAATGGCTTTTAGATAATCTTATGTTCTCACATTCTATTTTAGTGGTTTGTGAACATTATCAATTTAGTGAACATGTATTTCTTAGGATGTTTTAACTTATTAACATCAATGGCTTGATTGCATTTGAGTTTGATTTTGGTGTCATACTTTATGCAGTTTCCAATTGTATTTTTCATGTGAATGTTTGCTAACTTTACTGTTTCTATAATAGTAAACTTAAGCTGCAAAATAGGTTTTTCAACTAGTTGTAAAATGGTGTAGATATTTAGAGACTTATTGTTATCTAAGTGTTTTGTTGAAATCCACACCCCAAAACTATTAGCAGGCAATAGTGAAGGTGGTTCTACAGTTTTTGAGCTTGACTACAAAAGACAACCAGCATGCCTGGCTCAATCTCCTCAACTTCACAAGCAAATGTCAATTTGTGGTGATTTTGGAAGGGTTGTCAGGATTTTTCTTTATTTCAGAGCAGAGGACTCCTATACGCATAGGCATTTGTGTGAATTTGCTGGTCTTGATGTTGAAATGGAGATTAAGAAAAACTACTCTGGGGTACAGTTGATTGTTGGTTCTGTCGTCATGAATATCTGAACTTTGTTACGCTTCTCACCTTGCTAAGGACTTTAGCTTCTTTATGCAGGTGATGGACATCATGGACCAATTATTTGTTGCAATGTTATAAGGCACACTTGGTTGCTAAGGGTTTTACACAAGAGTATGGAATAGATTATGAGGAAACATTTGCTTTAGTTGCTCGTCTCATATCTGTGCGCAGTTTGCTTGCTATCGTTGCTATACAAAGATGGAAATTGTTTCAGATGGATGTGAAAAATGCTTTTCTTAATGGTGACCTAGAAGAAGAAGTTTATATGAAACCACCTTCTTGACTTAACCATCTTCCAAACAAGGGATGTCGATTGCAATGTGCATTATATGGGTTGAAGCAATCCGCTCGAGCCTGGTATACAAAGTTGAGTGCTACTATGAGTGAGTTTGGTTTTACTTTCAGTTCACATGATACTACTTTGTTCATTCATAAGACTGCTTAGGGTATGGTTCTTTACTTCTTTATGTTGACGACATGATTATTACTGGAGATGATGTCATAGGTGTTGAGGAGCTAAAACCATCTCTCAGTTAGAAATTTGAGATGAAAGATTTTGGTGTTTTAAGCTATTTTTTGGGGCTTGAAGTCACCTCTTCAAATCATGGCTACTTGCTTTCTCAAGTAAAGTATGCCTTTGATCTTGTTTCTAAAGTTGAACTCAATGATGGTAAGAGTGTTTCTACACCTCTTGAACCTAATGTTAAGTTTACACATATGGATGGCTCTCCACTTTTTGATCCTAGTCACTATCAGCAATTGGTTGATAGTTTAATTTATCCTACCATGACACGCCCTGATATATCATATGCAGTTCACATTGTTAGTCAATTTATAACTGCTCCTCGGTCCACTCATTATGCAACAGTACTTCGCACTATTCGCTATGTTAAAGGAACATTATTTCATGGACTCCATTTTTCTACCAACTCTTCCCCTATGCTTCGCGCTTACTTTGATGCTAATTGGGCTGGTGATCTTTTTTATCATAGATCTACCACTGGTCACTGTCTTTTTCTTGGTAATTCTCTTATCTCTTGACGGAGTAAGAAACAAACTATTCCATCTCGTTCAAGTACTGAAGCAAAGTATAGAGCTCTCGATGATACCACATCAGAACTTCTTTCATTACGGTGGCTTCTTGAAGATATGGGCATTCCTCAACCTTCTTCTATTGATTTATATTGTGATAATCAAAGTGCTATGTAGATTGCTCATAATGATATCTTCCATAAACGCACTAAACACATTGAGGTTGATTGTCACTTTGTTCGCCATCATGTTGCACAAGAAATTGTTCATTTGGTTTTCATTGGCTCCGCTGATCAACCAGCAGACATCTTTACCAAAGCTCATTTTCCTGGACGCTTTTGTACTCTTCTTTTCAAACTCAAGTTGAGTTCATCACAACCACCTTGAGTTTGAGGGGGGATGTTAAGATATGAACACAATTATATTTGAAATTATTGTAAATATTTTATACTTTAAAATATTCTCTTTATATACTTTATACCTTAAAATATTCTCTTTATACACACTTATATATAAATTATTGTATATGCAGTATTATTCAAGAAAATAATAAACCTTTTTTTCAAATTATTATTATTATTATTTTTGTTTCTAACAAACCCACACCTAAAATAATAAATTAGACATGGATTTCTAAAAGTCACATAAGGGGTCAACACCTTCAACTAGGTGCCAACAGCTTGTGTTAAGCGCACAACATCATCATCGTATCAGGTTTTTGGTCTCCTAAGCAATTTCTAGAAATCGCAAATAGACCTGACAAACGGGTGGATTAGGACTAGTTAAGGTCAAGTCAGAACGAGTAACGGGTCAATGAAAGCAGACCTTAACCCGCCCATCACGAGTCACGCGGGTTGACCCAATTAAATTTTCTTCTTTTTTTTTTTCTCTATAATTTCTACCTATTATCATTTAAAGAACATTATTCAAAAGATTTCAAAAAGAAATTCAACATCTTATAAAAAGAATTTTTTTCCAATTAATTTAATGTATACATATTTATAGTTTTTGAATCATCTTCTCCACTTCCCTTCAAAGAGCAACGTTAATCAAATTCAAGAACACCACACACTTATAAATCTCAATAGCAAAAAAAAAAAAAAAGACAGTAGTAGCATGATAACCAAGAAACACAAACCCTATTGGAACATATTTGTTCTGGTTGTTGCTTTTAAAGAATCAATCAATTGAATGCATCTAAGCAAAGGACAAGATCAAGTAGAATTTTTACTTGGAATGGAGAGAAAACTAAAAAGCATAAATAAGTAAATAACTTACCTTGAAGGCTTTAGAGAGAAAAGTTGGTGACGAAGAAAGCACTTGTCAAACTCGAAGGAGAAAGGAAGAAAGGGCTAAGTGGACGCGATGGTGACTTGGTGAAACTAAGATCTAAGTCTGAGATAATGTTAAAGACTAAAGAGACAAGGTGGAGTCAAAGTTTGAAAGTTGAAGGCTGTATGGACTACGGAGGTTAAAGAATATGAGAAAAGTTTGAACTTTGAAGAGTTAGAGTCCCAAAGAGTATTAGGGCAAGTAAGAATAGGAAAGGTCAGGAGGTGAGTCTTAAGTGGAATGGGATTATTTTTACTTCTAGAAGATGATGAGTTAAGAGAATCAATTAGCTAATTAGAGAAAATTAGTCAATTATTAGAGGTTTAAGTGGGATTGGGAATTGAAAAACAAAATAAATAAATAATAAATTTTAAATTTTAAATTTTTAGACGGGTAAACGAGTCAAACCCGTTAACCTGGTGGGTTTGCCCGTTATTAACCCGTGACCTGTCGAGTTCTCTTAACGAATCATTAATGGGTTACAAGTCATAAATATATGACCCTAACCCATTTAAACGGGTGGGTAACGGACAGGTTAGTAGGTAGGGTAAAAAATTGCCAGGTCTAATGGCAAAATGACAGTTCTGGTCCTTAACTTATGAATTCTACACAAGTTAATCCTCATTTTTTTATTTCTGCAATTTGCTCCTAAGAATTGTGATTTCATTCAATTAAGTCCTTTCCTATAAAAAAATGAAAATTATGAAAAATCAAGTAAAATCTCATAAAACTCATCCAAATATCAATAATATTAAGGTAAAAATTTCACATTAATATCTATATAAATTTAGCTAATCAATAAACTAATTAACTAAAATATAACAAATAAAAATTAGTTAGTCAAAAACATAATACCTCTTCTTATTTTCCCATGAATATATATTTTCTAAAAAAAACCAACACACAAAGGAGTCAAATACATAACAATTATTGATTAAAAATATTAATAAATTTGCAACTTAAAAAAATTAGATAAATACATAGAATAAAGATATGTGAATAAATTAAATGTACTCAAATTTAATAGATTTACCTCCAAATTGATGCCCCAATTTTTGATAAATTAAATCCTAAAAAAGAAATGAATATCATTAGTAGAAGACAAGTAAAAACATTAGGAAAAGAAATGTTAAAATAAATCAAAAGAAATTAGAAGTGAAAAGGAAGGGGGAAAAAAAGGTAATTAGAAGATATATATACAAGGAAAGGGACGTGAAAGGAAAAGGGAAGAAAAGCGAAGAGAAATGAGTAGAAGAAAAGGAAGAGGAAGATAAGTAGTGAAAGGAAATGGAAGAAGAGATAAGAGAAATGAGTAGGAGAAAAGTATGAGGAAGAGAAGTAGTGAAAGGAAATAGAGAAGTGTGGAAATAAGAGAATAGAAGAAGAGTGGGAAAACAAATGAGACTTGAAGCATATATATAGGCTACAAACTAATTCGGACAAAAATATTGACTGAACAAAATTTGACCTAGATTTCAAACCAATTTAGTTGATAATTGAGGGGGAATTTTATATTATTTGGACAAAAAAACTTTGATCGAAATATAATAGGTAGAAATTCAAAATTTTTTATTATTAATTATATTCAGGCAAATAAAATGATTGATCTAGTGCAAGTGAGAAATGAAAAATTTTCAAGTTTTTATGGTTCAATTCAAAAGTTTCTGAAATGTGTAATAATCATTTTAATCAAGCATTTTGACTGAAATGTAAAAAATAATTAATTTCAATGAAAGAATAAATAAGTACATATAATGTTCTAGATATATTCTAGTTAAATTTTTTTGGCTGAACATACATATATATATATATTTAAATCTTCAATTATTTTTTTGAAAATGCATGAAGTTATTGGGTTAATTTATTTGACTGAAATAATGTTATTTTTCTTGAGAGAATGTTGCAAGAATTACAAATTACTTTGTTCGGGCAAAATGCATGACAGAGAGATTGCGATTATGTTTCTCCCACTATTGCTTTTTGACATACTCCATTTCGTTGTGATAGTTAAAATTTTCAAAATGGTATTGCTTAAAATCTAAAATCTAGTAAAGAAGTAACTGGGAAAAAGGAAAAATAAAATTATATATATATATATATATATATATGGAGAGGAAGAGTCAGAAGAGAGAGGATGGATAGATGGAGTTAATAGCTTTTTAATTAAATTATATTCAATACTAATTAGGGTATAATATAGAAAGGGTTAAAAATATCTTAGCTAAAGTGGAAGGAATTAAATAAGAATTTATCTAATATGTACTCTTAAAGTTGAATAAATACATTAAAAATATATAAAAATTAATATTTATTTTAATATCAATGTCATATGAATAATTTTAATTAATCAATTGATTAAATTAAAATCAAACTTTACTCTTTTTAATTTAAAATAACTATATTTTTTTACTTTTTTTCCAAATTAAATAGTGTTTTTGACTAAAAATTTGTCCCAAAATAATATATATATTTTATTTTTCTTACTTTAATCCAATTGTTATCTCTTAATTTTAATTTTTCATAACACCATCACAAAAAACCTCTCTTTTATTTAACACTTTTATATTTTAAAGAATAGTACGGATAAAAGATAAATTATCTATTTAATAAGAAACAAAAAGTGTATTATTAAGAGAATAGTAAAATGTTAATTAAAGTTAGTAGTAAATGGGCAATTAAAGTTAAAGGGTTATATTAATTATTAAAATTAGTAAGTTAATTTTATTTAATTCATTTCCCTTTAATTAATCTTGTAAAAAAATTGATTTTGACATCCACAAAATAATATATTTTAATCAAAACCATTGACCAAAACACTCTGACTTCTGAGTTCCATCATTTGAAAATTTATTCGGTTAATCTACTTGACCGAAATACTTGATATTTTGGACCAGAAATATGCCTAAATTCATGTAGTTTCAGAGGATAATTATTCAGCCAAAACTTTTGATTAAATATATAATAAAAAAATACAGTTAACCTTAAAAAATTCTAAGAAAACTTGCTTATTTATTCAGTTAAATTGATTGACTAAAAATATTATTTTTTATTATTTTTGTTGTTCGATCAAAAATTTTAACTGAAATAGTTTGGCACCAATTCCTGTGCAATTATTTCAAGCAAAAATTTTTTAACGAATAAATATTAGCCTGAATAAATGAACCCCGAACCATTTAAATGGACTAACCATTTATTTAGTCAAAAATTTTGACCAAATTAACCGTTTTTTCAAATAGTCATTTTTCTAATAGTGAAATGTGTCATGGATTTTATGCTTTA